ACTACTACTATTACTACTACTACTACTACTACTACCACCACCACCACCACCACCACCACCACCACCACCACCACCACCACCACCACACCACCACCACCACCACCACCACCACCACCACCACCACCACCACCACCACCACCACCACACCACCACCACCACCACCACCACCCACCACCACTACTACTACACTACTACTACTACTACTACTACTACTACTACTACTACTACTACTACTACTACTACTACTACTACTACTACTACTACTACTACTACTACTACTACTACTACTACTACTACTACTACTACTACTACTACTACTACTACTACTACTACTACTACTACTACTACTACTACTACTACTACTACTACTACTACTACTACTACTACTACTACTACTACTACTACTACTACTACTACTACTACTACTACTACGACTATTTTTATTACTACTACTACTACTACTTGTACAAGGGTCTCTAGGGCTCCCATAGGGATGCCATGAGGGTCTGTAGGAATCCCGTAGGGATCCCATGAGTGCCCGTAGAGTTCCCAGAGGGATGCCATGAGGGTCTGTAGGGATCCCGTAGGGATCCCATGAGGGCCTGTAGGGATTCCGTAGGGATCCAATAAGGGTCTTTATGGATTCCGTAGGGCTCGCATGAGGGTCTGTAGGGATATCATAGGATTCCCATGAGGGTCGGTAGGGATTCGATAGGGATCTCCTCGCTGGTGCACTCTCGTATCGAGGAGGGTGGAGTCGGAGGATGGTCGAAAGGGTGTTTGTTCAGTTTCCTTTTTTTGTTGCTTAGTTTTTGGCGTTGTTCTGTTGTTCTGTTGTTCGTTGTTCGGAGGGGTGTGGGGGGGGACTGGGTACCCGGCAGCGGGGCTTGTCCCGTCTGGGAAGCTGGCCGGCCGGGTCCCGTGAGACGGGGTACCGGGCAGCTGGCTTCACCATGTTATTGATGCCGTTGTTGCTGCGGTTGTTGTAATGGTTGTGGTTGTTTCAGCTGTTGTTTTTTTTGTTCTTGGTGTTTCTGTTACCGTTGTTGTTTTTGTTTTTGGTCTTGATGCCGTTTTTGTTGTTGTTTGTTGTTGTTGTGATTTTTTGTTGTTGTTGCGTCGTCGGCGTCGTCGTCGTCGTCGTTGTCGTTGTTGTTGTTGTTGTTGTTGTTGTTGTTGTTGTTGTTGTTGTTGTTGTTGTTGTTGTTGACTTCTCATTTCTGAAGAGTATTTTTTGTTGATTCCCCCACAAGAGCACATGGAGTTTTCAATTGAAGTACCCCCCTGGGGCTCGCACCCTGTTTTTGTATCGGGGACAAGCTTCCTGCTCAATCTGCGTTGTTGCCTCCCCCCCTGGCGACAAAAGCAACAAAGGCTCTTGTCTGATACTTCCTCACACTGCACAGCGAAATCGCGCTCTCGCGCAGGTTTTTTGTCACAATGCATGCGGACATCGCGCTCTCGCCGGGGACTTCCACGCAATGTATTCAGACGCCGCGCCTTCCGACATTTCGGGAATGACGCCCTCGCTTCGGCCTTTCTCATGATTTTTTAGGCATCGCGCTGCGCTGTCGTTCGAGACGTCCTCGTGATCCGTGCAAGACCCGCGCTTCAGCAGCTCGCCTGCTCGACCTGGCCGCCTGGGTCTGCGTGCCCGGCCCGCCTGCTACGGTCTGCCCGCCCGATCTGCTCGTCTGGTTCTGCCACGTGTTTTCTGCTCCTTAGCCCCCCCTTGCTATCTTCTCTCGTGCTCTGTCCTTCTCCCTCCCTTTCCATCCGCCCTGTCTTCCCCTGTTTTAGGGGCTGCGCTAGATGCGCGTGGCAGGTACGGAAGACATACCCCTAGTGGGGTATGATCGGAGACCAAGAGGGCGGGGACCGAGGGTCTTGGGTATACGTGTCGAATGGCATTCGAGCAGATAGGTGCGAACAGTCTTGTTGATCTATCATTTTTGAAGAATCACTAATGTTGATCACCCCCCACCGGTGCACATAGTGTTTTTCAACTGAAGTGCCCCCCTCGGGGCTCGCACCCCCAATATCCGGGAACGTCTTTATGCTCAAAGTGTGCCCTTGGCCGTCGGCTACAACAACAAAGCCTCCCGTCTGATATTTCCTCACAATGTATAGCGGAATCCCGCTCTCGCGCAGGATTTCTTCAACATGTATGCAAACATCGCGCTCTCCCTCCCGCCCGCTCGGGTCTGCCCGCCCTATCTGCCTGTCTGGTTCTGCCACGTGTTTTCTGCACCACGCGCCGCTCTCCTTCTAATTTCTCTCGTGTTCTATCCTTCGCCCTCTCCCTTCAATCCGTCCTGTCTTCGCCTGTTGTCGGGCTGCGCTACATGCGCGTGGCAGTTAGGGAAGATATACCCCAAGGGGGAAAATATACCCCAAGGGGCTACCATCGAAGGCGAAGAGGGCGGGTACCGAGGTTTCGGGATATACGTGTTGAGTGGTGCGCAAGCAGGTACGAACGAGCAGTCTGCAACTGTTTGTTATTTTTGCTGTTCTTGTTGCTGTTGCTGTTGTTGATGACGTTGGTGTTGTTGTTGCTGCTGTTGCTTTTGCTTTTGCTGTTATTGTTGTCGTTGTTGTTGTGGTTGCTGTTGTTTTTGCTGTTGTTGCTGAACTTTCAATACTGAACATTAATTATGGTTGGTCTCCCCTCTGGGGCACATGGTGTTTTTCAATTAAGGTGCTTCTCCCGGGGCTCGCACCTGGTTTTTTCAAGGGAAAGCGAGGGGTCACCAAACTGGCCCCCTGGCTTCCGAGTTGCAACAACAGCAACGGCTCCCGCTTGATACGTTCTCACAAGTTATTCCTAAATCGCGCTCTCGCGCGGGACTTCTGCACACTGTATGCAGAAATCGCACTCTCGCGTGGGATGTCCTTCCAATTTATTCATGCGCCGCGCCCTCGACACTCAGGATTCACGCTCTCGCTGTGTATTTCCTCACGATTCATTTCGGAATCGGGCTGTCGCTCGAGATTTCCGTGCGATTCATGCAGGGCGCACGCTTCAGCAACCCGTCTGCTCGACCTGGCCGCCTTGGCCAACCACCCGATCTGCCCGTCTGGTTCTGCCACGTATTTTCCGCTCCTAGCCCCCGTCCTGCTATTATCTCTCGTGCTCCATCCTCCTCCCTCCCCCTTGTCCCTTCCTTCCATCCGTACTCTTTTCCCCTGCCTTAGGGGCTGCGCGAAATTCATGTTGTAGGTAAGAGAGATATACCCAGAAGGGAGTACGATCGAAGACGAAGAGGGCGGGTCTCGAAGGTTTTGATCCACGTGTTGGATGGCACGCGAGCAGACAAATGCGAACAGTCTTAATCCGATTGTTGTAGTAGTAGTAGTAGTAGTAGTAGTAGTAGTAGTTGTTGTTGTTGTTGTTGTTGTTGTTGTTGTTGTTGTTGTTGTTGTTGTTGTTGTTGTTGTTGTTTGCTGGCGGTCAACAGCACGATCTGAGGTTCAGGATTCTCTCTGATAAGCAAGATGCAAGCCCCAGGGGCGGCCTTTCAGTTTAATAACATTCGGCGCCAGAGGGGGAACCAACAATAGTTATTTCATCAGCAGAATGAGAAGCTGCACCGCGGAATTCCGCTTTAGTTTTGCTTCCGTTCAAGGTGTAGGACCGCTCGGCCCCTCATTATTATTACCCAGACGCAAATGGCACCCCATTTTCCAAGGGGGGTGTCAATTGCGCAACTGTCGCCGCTTTGGTCAGCTGGTGGGAGACTGTCTAACGGAGTGCGGTCGTACGCGGACCCAGACGGGACTTGTCGTCCCTGGGTGGCGCCAGCTGCGCAACTGTTGTCGTTTTCGTGAGCTTGCGGGTGGTCCAGTGAAGCGCGGTCTTCTTCAGATCCAAACAGGACCTTGCGTTCCCTGGGTGGTGCCAGTTGCGAAGCTGTCGGCAGTTCCGTGAGTTTCTGTAGGTCCAGCGAAGTGCAGCCTTACGCGGACCCAGACACGGCCTTGTGCTCATTGGTCAGTTCCGATTGCGCACCTACTGCCATTTCAATGAGCTCATGAGGGGTTCAACCAAATACTGTCCTACCATTGCGCGACCGAGACTTCCCCTCCCCGGGTGATGCCAACTATTCAATTGTCGCCATTCTGGTTGGTTGTCTGTCATATATTCCTTATGTTAGTTTTTTTGTGCTTTCCACTATGACTATATCCCTCCTTTACCCTCTGTTTCCTCATACTTGTTTTCCGCCTTCTGTCCCCCTCCTCTCCTTCGGTGTCGCCTTGTATAGATTTCGTCGGGCTTGCAGTGCATGGGTTCCCTATGTCTTTTAGTTTTCCCGCAAGAACGCGTGTCCTGGGTGGATGGGCCATTGAGATCGGAGTGCCCTGCAGATCGGTCGCGTACGCAACTTGGACAAGTGGTTCTTTCATTCAGGGGGTCTCGTTTCGGAGGTGTCTGGGGCTGTTCTGCAGGCGGCTGTCTCGGGGCCGTGCAAGCCTTTCTTGGAGTGCTTGGAGACGGCCTTGGGGGGGAACGTACCTCGGAAATTCGCACAATGCACCCCTCCGAGGCCAGGAACATATCTTGGGATTGCCAAGAGAGCACGGACTTTGAGCTCGAAGTATACGCCTCTGCGCTTCAGTGTTTTTGGATCCAGAGCACCGCTTCACAGTGACCAGTACACCGTGAGGGGGATGGGCCAAATCACGCTCACCGCTGCATAAAGGGGGGGAGTATATCGTCGGAGGTTTCGTGCAAGATCAGGTTGAGCGGTTTCTCCGTAGCGTTAGGAGCTCGGCGGTGTCTCAACCTATTTTGACCCCAATTGTGCGAGATGTCGACGGGGCAAACGGCCAAGCACAGGCATGCATGCACTCACGTATACGCGGAGTACGTAAATGCTCTTGAGCATTAATCGCGTCTCTTGGGGCATACTGCTTGCTCCCTCCTCTTTCCCATATAGGGTCCACCTTATGTTCCCTTGTGTTCACCAGTAGCGCCTTCAGCAAATCGTGCTTCCTAGCAGGCGCCCAGCGCTACACAGCAGGAGCAGGAGCAGCACGATGACGAGGACGGTGATGATCCAGCAGCTGCGGACGACAAGCTGACCTTGACCCAGGCACAAATGAAATTGAAGATAGACGTGCCATTGGGAACAGCACATTATGTTCAGATCAACGTGCACCGTGTGGAGGATCTTCGAGAGCTGGTTTTTCCTGGGGGCTTGCCGAGTCCATACGTGACCGTAGAGTTTGCAAGCTGCCAGCTCCAGACCAGTAAGGGAGATCAGGTGAAGGCGTTTGCCTTCAACGAGTGCTTACAGATCCCAGTTCGGACACCTTTGTACGAAGACGCAATTATTTTAAAACTTTGGAGTGCAGGTTGGTTTACCTCTGATATTCTGCTTGCCCAGGGCGTTATTTCTTTTAGCGAGCTGAGGAACAAGTCTCTGCCGCCTCGTTGGTTTCCCCTCTACGGATGGAACGTGGAGGAGGTCCCCGACTCGAGCCAGATAGCGGGATCTGGTGGGGATCTGGATAAGAATTTCTTCATGGGATGTTTGCTGATATCTGGCCTGGTAGTTCCTCTCGAGGAGGGCGATCAGCTGCAGCCGGCAAACGTGCTTCCCTGTAGGACAATCGCCGATCCGCCCATGATGCAAGTGGCCCTGCTTGCGGATGTCTACATGGTCGTCGGTGCAGAGGGCCGGAACTGCAGGGTTGAGCTCAGCTTCGGCTCCACGAGCGAGTCCACCCTAGAGGTGTCTTGCGACGCAGAGAGTGCGACCTCCAGGATGGAAGAGGCGCAGAAGCAGCAGGACACCATGGCACACACTGTCGCTGCGCCAGCGTCCGCGATGGACCTGGAGTCTACCGCTGGCAACCTCGATGGAGCGACAGAGGATGACACCCCCTTTATCTTCAGCGAAACAACAGGCATGATAAAGCCGGTGAATGTCACGGTGCCAGAGGATCCTGCCTCGCAGCCATGGGTCATGATCAACGTGTATACCGATGGATACTTCAGCTCTTTTCAGCGCGTGGGCTGCGCTAAGCTGCGCCTGGCTGATGTGGACGAGCGCAATCCGAATGAGGCGCCCCCGCCGAGGTTCCATGCCACCACCCCGATGCCGAATGCATCCTCCAAGAGCGCCCCCTCTGTGCTGATCGCCATCGAGAGGAACAATACCGATGACGTTGTGCGTTTCAAGAGAGCAAAAATCACTCCGATGGTGTACATCGTCAGAGCGTACTGCTTCCTGGCCCGCCACATCATGTTTGATGACATGAAGCAGACGGTGAGAGAGGCGGATCATTATGCTCTCCGGGTTGCCTGCGCGGGCAAGTCCAAGTCTACTAAGCTTCTGAAGGGGCCCCGCCCAACATGGATGGAAGTTGTAGACCTAAAGGTGATCTTGTGTGCCAACCCTGGTCAAAGGGAGCCAACCATTGAGCCGATAACAGCCACTCTCGTGCAGGGGGGCTCCGTGTCTTTGTTCAACAGGGACGTGGGCAAGGCGACCTGCCTTTACACCCACCTCCGCAAAAGGGACAAGAATATGAAGTTTGAGCCGTTCAGGCTGAAACCTCAGTGGATTGTAATATCCGCGCAGAACGGTGCAAAAAAGGTTGGCGAAATCTTAGTGGACTTCGAGCTGCTGCAACACAAGCATCGCAAGCAGGAAGAGCTGATGCCGCGCGAGATGTGGCCCCAACCAGAGCACAGCTTCCAGCGGAAGAACCATGTTTGCCGCTTGAAAAAGGCAACTTTACATTTCTCTCTGCAAGGCTTGCGTGACCTGAGGCCACTACCACCAGTGGAGGGTCTCTCAGGACACCCGCCCTTGCTGGGCCGGAGAAATGACGAGCGCAAGCTCTGGCGCGTCGCGGGTGAGAGCTGTGCTCGAGTCGGTGCTGGCAGCAGCAGCCCATCTCAGAGCCGACTCTTCGCCTCCCCATCGTCCTCATCGTCGTCGTCCTGCTCCTCCTTCTCCTCTTCGTCCTTTCCCTCCTGCTCCTCCTCCTCCTCCTCCTCCTCCTCCTCCTTCGAGCTCCCGTCCGAGCCGGCTGCACGAACGGGGTGGCCCCTCGTGGGAGCGACCCCTCTGTTGCTCGGCTCCTCCCGCGGACACGGGGGGGGGCCGGACCCGGGCACGCGGGCCGCTGGCCGTGCTGCTGCCTCGCACGCCACGATCTCGCACGCCGCGCGCCGGAGGCCTTTCCTTCGGGGGTGGACAGAACCCCCAACAGTGACACGTCGATTAGTGAATTGTCCGTTTTCGGTTCTCGAGAGGGCGCCGTGGCCGTTATTTTCCAGACTTGCGCCCGCCAGGTTTGGGCCTCAGGTCGTTTTCACTGAACCACGTTTTGCTAAAGGGGGTCTGTCCATCCCCGACTCCTGCCCGGGGCCGCCCCTGGCGTGTCGCCGACGGGGCGCCGTGCCAGCGCCGTCGTCTCGGAGTCTGCAGTTGCGCAGCGGGCGCGCGCCGTGGGTCGCGAGGCCAGGCCTCCCTCGGGCGGGGCTCCGGGGGTGCTCCTTGGCTTCGGCGAGGGCGCGCCCTGCTCGGGCTTGCGCTCGAGTGGAGCGCCGTCGCGATTCTGGGCCTTCGGGGCCGTCGCGAGCTGTGCCCGAGGGCTCCTCTGCTTCGGCTCTCACGCGCGGAGGTTTCGTCGCCAGACAGGGCGACACGTTTTTGTGGGAGGTCCTCTGGGTTCGGGGGTTGCCCAAAACCTTCTTGGAGCTCGTGGTGACCAGGGGACTCCACGATCGATTTTCGGAAGCACGCCCTGGGAGCTCCAGGAGGCCTGAGGAGGTTCTGTCGTGCTCCCGAGAGCCTTAAGGTGTCTCAGTCATACCCGAAGATGTTTGTGTTTTTCTTTGCAAGTTTGTGTATCGATCAAGTAAGTGTCCCCCCTGGAAGCCCCCTTTCTCCAGGGCTGTTCTTTGCCCATGCCTTATAACTTTCGACGGTCCTAGGGCCGGGTGATGGCCCTCACCAGCCGGACACGGCAACAATTCCCGTGTTGTCTTGTTCAAGACGTCGGATGTTTGGGTCTAGTGCTTTGGTGCTTGCTTCGTGCTCTGCTTCCCATGCTGGTTTGCTGTCGCGGGTGTACGTTTGCGTCGTCTCAGGACTAGGCGCTGTGCTCGCAGCAGAAATCGAGAAGCCGATCGTGGAGGTGGAAGTTAGCAGTTTCGTCCGGCCACTGGGCGACATGGCCGAGGAGCACGAGAGCGACCAAGAGCGTCCCCAGGGGAAGCTTGTCTTCAAATACAAAGAGATGGCGGACGTCCCTGGCCTCGTCGAGCGGCATTCCAGGCTGCGAAGGTGGAAAACGAAGCTGGGCGCGTACGGCAGTGTTGACGGTGCGAATTTCGAGTTCTTGCAGGTCGGGAGGGCCCGTTGTCTCATTCCCGATAACCCGATCTTCGAGCCTTACATCACAGTGAGGGTTCTAGAGGAACCGGGCAGCTGGAGTATGGCTCAAGAGCCCACGTTGGTGGGGGAATCTAGGCATTCGCTCGGGCATCTGCTCCCGTGCTGCTGGCTTAAGGGCGTCCGTCTAGATGTTCCTTATGCGGACCAGTCAGAGATGATCGAGAAGAAAATGAGCCAGGCGCGGGAGAGTGTCGCAGTGCGTGATAGCTTCCAACAGCAAACACTCGGCGAGAAGGAGAAGGAGGTAAAGCAGTTGAAGCAGGTCGACATGCTGAACCAGTCCTTGTCGTACACAACGGCTGCGCTGCCAACCCGCGAAGAGGAGTCCACGATCGAACCTTCCCCCAGGGCCTCCGGGCAGCCGCCCCGCCACATGCAGTCGTAGTGGTCAGTGGTGGCGGCAATAGCCTCGCATGGCAGCAGCGCGCAGTGGACTTCCTCTGTGACCCCCCAAGCCATTCTATCCAACTCGTTTCTGACGAGGATCTCATCCACCAGGTTTCTCAGCTCGTTCAGCAACGTCGCAGCTGTCCCGTGCCAGCTCAGCGTGCCCAGATCTGGTACCGCCGTCACCACCACACGTCACTTTCAGTTCTCTTGCATCGCCTGTGTCCTGGAGCTCGAAGCCCGTTGCTGTTGGTCGGCGTCGCTCGTTTTTAGGTTCGCATCGATTTGCTTCCCCCCTTGATCTCCCCCCGGTTGTTCCCGTTTAGCATATTGTCGAAGCCAGCTTACGAAGGACCCGAAGGTTCCCAAGGGGCCTCGAAGACGCTCCATGAAACCCCTATGGAATGCCCTTGATATTGTCAAATTCTTCTGGGTCTTAGCGCTTCTCCGAACTCTCAGCTCGAGACGGCTTCGAAATAGACCCCAAGGGCTTCCACAGGGTCCACGAGGCCCTCACGGGTTCTCAAGAGGGCCCCAGACGCCCCCGAGATGGACCCGTTCGAGCTTCGGGCCTGGGCTGTGGGGCTGTCAGGGGAGTAGAGGAAAAACATTGAGGCATCTTGGAGCGATCTTGGGCCATCTCGGCTCGGGGCTGACTTGGGAGCCATCCTGACCCCAGGAGAGCCCCAAGAGAGCCCCAAGAGAGCTCCTCGAGAGGTCAGTCTGGTCCCAAGAAGGCCCCGCAGTAGCTCCAACATGCCGCTCCTCCGTATCACCCCCTTCCCCTCCCGCCCTTTCTCCGATCCCTCGTGCAAGAGCCAGGGCACGCGCGCCACTTGTTGCTGGGGTAGTCTGGTTTGCTCGGCCTGGATCACGTCAGGCCTGTTTACTCCCCCACTCGGTACACTGATCGACCATGCATTTGTATCCAGCTGCCTGCGGCAAGCCCCGCCACCGTGACAGCGCAGCAGCGCAGCAGAAAGGGATTGCGTGGCCCTGTCTGAACTGGCGTGGGTCTTCAGTACTCCCTCCTTGTCCGCAGCCTGTTTTCCCCCCTCTTCTCTCTTCGTCCTCCTCCTCCTCCTCCTCCTCCTCCTCCTCCTCCTCCCCTCCCTCCTCTCTCTGGAAGGCATCTTGGAGGTTTCATGGGGGCTCAAGGTGGGCGTCTTGGGGGCCTCTTGATGGCCTGTTTGGAGCCCGTCGGGGGTCTCGGGGCCGTTTTTGTGCGCCATGGTTCTGCCAACTTCTCCTGAATGGGGCTCGGTTGAAGCGTCGCGGGGACGCCTGGGCTGGTCTCGGGGCCGTCTTGGAGCCATCTCTGTGTGTTGGGGTCTCTTGAGGTTTCAGTGATCCTGCACAGACGCGATCAGAAGTTGAAAGGCTCGCAAGCAAAGCGCTTGTCTTCTGCTCACTCTCTTTCTGCTGCGCAGGGTATCGCTGGAGGTCTGTTTGGACATCTCTCCAGGGCATCGTCTGCTTCTTGGAGCATTTGAGGGGTCGTGAGGCTGTCTTGGGCATCTTGCTGCCGTCTGGGGCCAGTCTGGGGGCGGTCTTGGGCCGTCTTGTAGCCGCTTTGAGGCCGACAAGGTCGCCAGCACGCGAACCAGGAGGGATTCTGTCACATGGGTGCGTGCGTCGAGGGTGTGGACGCCCCTAGAAAATTACAGACGGGCTGTCATACAACGAAGCAGCGCTCTGAGACGCCCCAGCGTGCCGAAGGCAAGGTGGCGGTCCTTAGATTTGGCTCCGTCCATGTCCGTGTATACACGTGCACATTCCCGTCCAAGTATACACGCATGCATCTACACATACTTGGTGTGTGTATATGAATGTATGCATGTATGTACGCGCGAATGCATTCATACACATACGTATGTATGCATGTATCCGTGTATGCATGCATGCATGTATGCACACATGCATGTATGCATGTATGCGTGTATGCATGCATGTATGCATGTATGCATGTGTGCATGTATGCATGTATGCATGTATGCATGTCTGTATGTCTGTATGTCTGTATGTCTGTATGTCTGTATGTCTGTATGCATGTATGTATGTATGCATGTATGTATGTATGTATGTATGTATGTATGTATGTTTATATGTATGTATGACTGTACATACGTATGTATGTATCTATGTATGTATGCATGTAGATATGCATGCATGCATGCATGCCTATATGTATATATGTATGCATGCATGCATGCATGTATGCATGTATTGATGTATGTACGTATGCATGTGTGTATGCATGTATGTATATGTATATGTATGTGTACGTATGCATGTAAGTATGTATGTATGCATGCATGTATGTATGTATGTATAAACTTGTGTATGTGTGCATGTATGTATGCATGTATGTATGTATGTATGTATGTATGTATGTATGTATGTATATATGTACGTATGTATGTATGTATGTACGTACGTATGTAGGTATGTATGTATGTCTGAATATGTGTATACACATATGTTTATACATAAAGACATGTACGTTTGTGTGTATGTATGCATGCATGCATGCATGTATGCATGTGTGCATGTATGTATGCATGCATGCATGTATGTATGCATGCATGTGTGTATGTATGTATGTATGTATGTATGTATGTATGTATGTATGTATGTATGTATGTATGTATTTATGTATGTATGTATGTTTGTACATTTGTATGTGTATGTGTATGTATATGTATGTACGTGAATGTATGCATGTATAGGTGTATGTATTTGTGTAGGTATGTATGCATCTAGGTATGTGTGTATTTATGTATGCATGTATGCAGGTGTATGCATGCATGTATGTATGTATGTATGTATGTATGTATGTATGTATGTATGTATATACACAACCATATACATATATGTACATGCACGTATACATATATGCGTGCATTCACACATGCACTTAACCTTGCAAGTACACCTGCCGATGTCTGTGTGACATTCGACGTCGTCGAGTGGGGTGGCCGAGTCGCATGCGCATCCAATTGGTGATTATTCAACAGGCTTGCGCTATTTCGCCGACCACTGGCGGAGTAGAGACGTCCAGGGGTAGGCTATGATGGAACTGGACTCGCTGGGTGTTTTTTTCACGCCCGCGAGGGTTCAATTCTCAGGGGCCCAGAGAGGGCTTGGGGGGCATCCGGCAGGTTTTTCCCAATTATCCTGTGGTGTTGGATCCTCGTTTTGAAGAGACGGTCCCCGCGTCCCTCCTCCCTTCTTCCTCCCTCCTCCCCCTCCTCCATCCTCCCCCTTCTCCCTGCTTTTCGCCCACCAGTACAGCGTTTCGTGGCCCCATCCACCGAAGGCCCCAGTGGCAGGGTTCGCATGGCTGCCCCGCATTTTGGCGCACCCCTCACACGGTTCGTGGCCCCATAGGGAGCTCCACTGAAGGCCCCGCTGGCAGGACTCGCACGGCGGCACGGTTCGGGGCTCCATAGGGAGCTCCACCGAAGGCCCCGGTGGCTGGGTTCGCATGGCGGCCCCGGCCCATTTTGGCGCACCCCTCACACGCTTCGTGGCCCCATTGGGAATTCCCCTTGCTTCGTCCCACCTGCCCTGCGGTTCTCACACTTGCGTATGGTTGGGTCCTTCGCCAGGATAATTTTTGGGGCCTCTTGGAGGCCTTTTCGTAGCCTTTTGGCGGCCTCTTTTTGGAGGCCTCTTGGTCTGTTGGGGGCGCGTCGAGGATCTGGGGTTCTGCTGGGGCCATGGGCAGGAGAAATGCTCGAGATGTCAGTTCGTATTGGCCCTCTCGGGCCTTTCTTGGGGCCCTCGTGGGCCGTCTCAGGGCCCCAATGGCTGTCTTTGGGCCCTCTTGGGCCCTCTTGGGGCTATACTGGGCCGTCTTCGGGCCCCCTAGGGCGGCCTCGTGGGCCGTCTTCGTCTTGGGACAATCTTGGGGGTCCCTTGGGCTGCATTGGAAGCTGTCAAGACGAAAAAGGCGAGCATGTGGAAAATACACGCTTTCCTGAGGGAGTGAGACGATTTTTGCCTATGAGGGCCCTCTCAGGGAACACTCTTAGGCCGTCCTGGGGGCTTCGTGGGCTGTCTTGACTTCATCTTGGACTGTCGCAGGGTTACCCTGGGCCGTCTCGACGCTCTCTTGGACTGTCTCAGCGCTATGTTTGGGCCCTCTTGGGCTGCTTTGGGGCTCTCTGGAGGCTCCGGAAAGCCCCTGGGGTGCGTTGACAAGCTCGTACCCCCCCTCTCCCCTATGACAGGATTTTGGGCCCCTGGGGAGGGGGAAGGGGGAGGGGGACAGCCAAGTGGCTCGCACACCTTTCCACCCCAAGCAGGCGGTGGTCCGCGGATTTCCGCCCGCCCGACCAGGACGCCCGACCCGCCCGACTGGCCGATTGGGGATCCCCCTGCCCGAAATTCGACTACACGTAAGAGTGACCCTTCGCCGGAGTGACCTTTGGTGCGCGCTCAGTGGGGTCCCCCGATCGCCGCGTTCGGTGCGATAGTAGCGTCTTTCGCGCTTGTGTTTGGCCTCCTCGCGCCTCCACAAAGCCGCGCACCAAAGGTCACTCTTGCCCAGGGTCACTCTTACGTGCAGCCGAGAAATGGCCTGACCGATCGTCCCAGGTTCTGCCCAGCTGGCCCTGCCCACCGCCCGGCCCCGTGTGCTCCCGCCCGGCCTGGCCCGACCGCTCGGCCTGCGGTTGCGCCGCCCGGCGTGGCCGTCTGAGCTTGGAGCGAGGTCTGCGAAGGGACTCTGAGGGGTGCCCCTCTGCAAGCTTTCTGGAACCGCTCCAAAAATAGTCGGGGGCTCGTAAAACAGGGCTAGGATCGGGATAAATCGCTCCAGAGCGTTCCGGAGCGCTCTCAGAGCGTTCCGGAACGCTCTGGAGCGGCCGCGGCGCCCAATACATCCCCCTCTGCAAGCTTTCGGGAGCCGCTCCAAAATCAGGAGGGGAAAAAAACACACACAGACACAATTCATCGTCGATTCCCAGGAAAATATGGGAAAGTATAGGAAGTGGGGGGGAAGACAAAAGCCCAGAAAATATGGGAAAATATGGGGAATATTTCTATTTGTGTGTATTTATTTGTGTGTCCTGGGGCCCCTTCACAAAAATAGTCGGGGGCTCGGAGTGGAGGTGGGGCGGACCTCGATCGTTGCAGGAGGACTGCTCGGACTTCGTCGACGGGAAGGCACTCCCCGAACCGCTGCGGCGTGGGAAAACGAGGCGGCCGTTGGATCTGGCGGACAAGAGCATGAACATGCAGGACGAGGCCGGCTTTTCGCCACGGCAAGGCGACCCAGTGGTACATCACACTGGGGACAATGCGCGTAAGACCGTTCACGGTTACCTCGAGGATTCTACTTCGGCGGATTTTCACAATGATTTCTTCTTCAAGAATATACCATTGTTACGAAATCATGACATCATTGAGAAGAACACTAAAGAGAGTTCTTTGGATTGGAATTTTGAATCTGGTCGTTGTTATGGCTTCGTGAAGTGTAGTTACAAGCTTGTCGACGGTTGGAACGAGGAGGAGGAGGAAGGAGAGCATGAGCAGACTGATTTCAGATGGATGAATGAACAAACGCAAGTCGACCCCAGAGACGTGTACAAGTTGAAGCAGTCCTTCGAATTTAACGAGAATCTCGATTCTTTCGCCTTCGACGACGAGGGATTCCCGAAGCATTTCAAGGAGCATTTGCCCAGCCGTGTCCGAGTCCGCATCTATCTGGTGAAGGCAGTCACAATCTACTCGAAGAGCTCCGGCTTCGCGGACCCCTATATCGAGTATCAGTTGGGTCGTAAACACCACGTGCAGCTCCGGAATATGGCACAGTTTTCGACTAACACGCCCGAGTTTTATCGGATTGAGGAGCGCGACATAGAGCTTCCAGAGGAAGGCAGGCTCGAGGTGCGCGTGATGGACATGCAGGATCTGTCGCTTTCGGACACGTGCATCGGAAGCACCGTTATTGACCTGGAAGACAGATGGCATTCTATTGAGTGGCAGAAACACAGTGACGCTGCAAACGTCCCTATAGAAGTTCGGTCGCTGTTCACAGAGGAAACGCAAGGGAAGAACCGGGGCAGTATCGAGATGTGGATAGAGATGCACGACGTTACCAAACATGATGTGCCACCATCTTTCTTGCGTAAGCCGGCGGATACGGAATTGGAAATACGCTTGGTGATTTGGACGGCATGCGACGTCAAGC